TTTATTTATTTATTTATTTTATTTCTATCCCGCCTATCTGATCATATTAGACCACTCTAGGCGGCTTACAGTAAAAACAACAATGTAATTTTAAAACTTTACAGCAGAAACGTAAATTAAAAAAATAAACAGAATAAGAAAAAAGATCGTCAAGGGTTTTCTGTTGGGAAGGCCCGCCTATACATCAATGTTTTTAGTTGTTTTGATGTTGAGCTTCAGTACATTTTTTGTGCTGTCGTTTTTCACCTTCATTAAGAGGTTCTTTAAGTCGTCCTCACTTTCTGCCATGCTTTTGCGCAGTCAATGAAGCAGTAGTAGATGTTTTTCTGGAACTTTCTGGCTTTCTCCATAATCCAGCGCATGTTAGCAATTTGGTCTCTAGTTCTTCTGCCCCTTCTAAATCCAGCTTTTACTTCTGGGAGTTCTTGGTCCACATACTGCTGAAGCCTACCTTGTAGGATTTTGAGCATAACCTTGCTAGCGTGTGAAATGAGTGAAATTGTACAGTAGTTGGAGCATTCTTTGGCACTTTCCTTCTTTGGGATTGGGATGTAAACTGATCTTTTCCAATCTTCTGGCTACTGCTGAGTTTTCCATCGATGATGATAAAAAAGCACACTGGTCCTTTGATATTGGGCTGTGGCACCAGGGTGGGTGACATGACCTTTAGCCTGGTTTGTTCCTTTTTGCACACCACACATAGAATGATTAAAGTGGTAGGGAACACCCCCCCCCTCCAATTCTGCGTTGGCTGTCTCTAGCAAGCATGTCATTGCTAGCACCATTCTGGCAGCCACTGATGATGATTAAATCCTCTGTGAGCTAGCAAAAATTTAATGCAACTTGCTGGGCACGTTGGACACCTTACTACTCCCTATATCACACCATGGGTGGAGTGCAATGTGTTCCAGCAAAAATAGTGCACATCTTTATCAAATTTGGTGCAACCTGCTAGTTTGGTACACAGCATGTGTAGATTCAATAATATTTTAAATTCAAATAATGTATGATTCCCTTCCTTTTGAATCAAGGGGGTAATGTCGGCGTATATACTTTTTTTTGGGAGGGGGAAAGGTAAAAAAGTTCCCTGACCCTTGCTCTAAAGGAAGCTACAGACTTGGGTTTACAAGATTGCTCATTCATAGGGTCACCATGAGTCAGAGACAGCTTTACAGCACATAACAACAACAAACCTGGGCCATCCAGCCCACCTCCAGAACTCTGGCCACGCTAGAATTATATGGTATCCTACTGAGTGCACTGGTATGGGCTTCCTTCTCTCAGAAACTGAAGATTCATTCAGAGCTTGAATGGAGGTTTAGCTTGGAAAACAAAACAAAACACACATTTAGTCCATTTTCTTCATCATTGCTGAATTTGAAATCTAATTCGGTTGTATTAATGTTAATGAGGAAATAGCTGATTTGTTACATTAATCCCTATCAGCCTTAGTTGATTCATTCCATTATTGAATTCATTCCATAAATCCTTATCATTGATCATTACTTTTAAAGACACCATAAGAAGTCTGCCCAGAGCTTCTGTACTAT